AGTAGTTAGTAGTAGTAGTAGTCGTCGTAGTCGAGTCGTAGTCGTAAGTCGTAGTCGTAGTCGTGAGTAGTAGCAGTAGTAGTAGTACGTTAGTGTAGTAGTAAGTAAGTAGTAGTAGTAGTAGTAGTAGTAGTTAGTAGTAGTCCTAGTACTACTAGTACTAGAGTAGTGTAGTAGTTACTAGTATTTAGTAGTATTTAGTAGTGTTAGTAGTTAGTAGTAGTAAGTAGTAGTAGTGACGTAGTAGTAGTAGTAGTAGTAGTGGTGGTAGTAGTGGTAGTACTGGTAAGTCGTGGTATAGTGGTAGTAGTAGTCGGTAGTTAGTAGTGGTAGTAGTAGTAAGTAGTAGTTATGTAGTATTATTAGTAGTCATAGTAGTGATAGTCAGTAGCACCCGTTAGTCGTATAGTAGTAGAGCGTCGTTATAGTAGTTATCGTCGTTTTCGGTAGTAGTAGTCGTAGTAGTAGTATAGTAGTACTAGTACTTCTACTAGTACTAGTACTAGTACTTAGTACATAGTACTAGTACTAGTACTAGTACTAGTACTAGTACCAGTACTAGTACTAGTAGTAGCAGCTCACAAAAATTGCGCGGCGGAGATAAGCCAATCAGCCGAGAGAGTACGCGACCATGTTGTTGTTTTGTCGAAGCTTTACAGCAAAACGGGGAAACTGAGGCAATGCGCAGTTACAGAGGCAAACAAGACCTGGTGCATTTCTTCAATGATGGATTTGTTTCAAATGGGACCCTGTTCAATGGGACCCTGTTCCTGAGTTCTTGTACAACTACGTGGGTGAACTTAAGTTACCCAACGGCAAATTTCCAGGTGGGTTAACAATTCTGCTTTGTATGATCGCCAGCGGGCGGTCGTCATCCCTGTCAAACCTACTGCGGGATCAAAGGGTCATGAAGTTTTTTGATGACGAGTGGAGCAATCATACAATCGACAAACTGCGCTACACAATTGCATCTCCCGAGACTGAGTCTAAAGGCGTTCGTTTGTCGGAAGGGTCAACCAACGAAGTAAAGCGTTCGTCTAAGCTCTGCCATGTCAATTTCGGCTGCCACACGGATTGGGCGCGGGATTGCATGATTCATTTCGACGCGCCAGGACAAACATTTGAGTCTTTTTCAGAGTCATTCAAAATCCTTTCGAATATTGCTGGCATCGGTGCGTTCAGGGCCGTGCATATTTTGCCATGGCTTTTTATCGCGCACGATGTGGATTTTTCTTGCCGGATGATATGCCGGATGATATGCCATGCGACTTGGCTGGTCCAAACGTCAGGCAAATGGAAAAGATGTGCAAATATGCTGGCTTCAGTCATGGTGGGTTATACAAAACGATCAAAGAAGAATTGCCCCACATTGAGCCAGTGGAGTATGAGGTATGGACGTGCAAAGTAGCGAATTTCATCTTCCTTTTGAACATGAAAAAGCAACCACGTTTGTGAGATCGCGCTGCCAAATCCAAAGCTGCGCGGCGGCGATTGGCAAATAAGCAGAATATTATGTAGTTTATGTAGCGTCGCTTTTATTTGTTGTGTGTTGGTGGTGCCTGCGTGCTAGAAAATTGTGCAACCCTCCTCCTCTCCCCCCCCCCCCCGTGGCCTCGATCTCCTTTGCTGTCGAAAACCGCCAGATCTTCGCGCGGAAGCGACAAAACAATCCGCTAGAAGATTATGTGACATATTACGTATTAAGGGAAACTCTGCGCCACGGCGTTGTCACAGGCGCGCGTTTCACTGGGTGAGCGTAGGCAGCGCGGGACGACGTGTCGAGGGCGGCCAGATCTTTACGCAGAAGCGACAAACAAAAATCTTCTATGATATTATGTGACGCATTTCGGATATGGGGGAACTCGGCGCCACGGCGTTGTCACAAGGATGCGCTTCATTGGGTGGGCGCAGGCAGCGCGACATGATACGTCGAGAGTGGCCAGATCTTCGCACAGAGACAGCAACGAAACATCCGTTATAAGCTTATGTGACATATTACGTGTTAGGGGAAACTCTGCGCCACGGCGTTGTCACAGGGGTGCGTTTCATTGGGTTGAGCGCAGGCAGCGCGGGATGACGCGTCGAGGGCGGCCAGATCTTCGCGCGGAAGCGACAACAACAAATCTTTTATAAGATCTTGTGACATATTACGCATTAAGGGGGAACTCTGCGCCACGGCGTTGTCACAGGGGTGCGTTTCATTGGGTTGAGCGTAGGCAGCGCGGGATGACGCGTCGAGGGCGGCCAGATCCTCGCGCGGAAGCGACAGCAAAACAAACATCTATACGATTACGTGACATATTACGTATTAGGGGAAACTCTGCGCCACGGCTTTGTCACAGCGGTGCGTTTCATTGGGTTGAGCGTAGGCAGGGCGGGATGACGTGTCGAGGGCGGCCAGATCCTCGCGCGGAAGCGACAACAAAACATAGCATTTTCTGTGTATAGCAGAGCCCGATGTGTTCGTGAGTTTCAACGATCAGACATCCAACACCGCTAAACCAAACATTTTTTGTTATGACCGCTTAGAATCAAGCGCGACAGGATTCAATTCGGTAGCTTTTGCGTCGTTCGCTACTTGCCTCCTCAGCAAACAATACCAGAAACGCGAGTTTGCTTGAGGGCGGCGGGTTCCGTTTCAAGGAGAGCGCAAAACGAAAATTTCACGTTGCGATTTTTTCACGCCTCGCACATTACAACATGTCCATATCCAATTCAAGCGAGAGACTGGAATATGCAAGCGCCCGCGCCACATGAGCCAAACAGGGGGGTCCATAGGGGAGGGCCACCCATATATATATATATATATATATATATATAGAGCGGAGGTGAGGGGGTGAGATCGAAGTGGAACGGAGAGACCCCCTACCTGGAAATCGATTTCGGTTTCGTGTTCGCGCGGGCCGTGCGCGCGGGCGAGGCGAAGCTGCGTGGGCGGGCGAGAGGAAAGTCTCCTGTGGCTAAGGCGCGGCCGGACCAAATGATGCTCCACCGGGCGGCCGGTGGCGCGCGGTGCCCCGCCGGTGTCCCGGTGGCGTCCTCTGTGGCTGAGGCGCGGCCGGACCAAATGATTCTCCACCGGGCGGCCGGTGGCGCGCGGTGTCCCGCCGGTGTCCCGCCGGTGTCCCGTCGGTGTCCCGTCGGTGTCCAGATGATGATGATGATGGTGTTGATGATGATGATGATGATGATGGTGATGATGATATCGATAGAGACCGAATGTGATATCGATAGTGAGACCGAATGTGAGATCGATTGTGATATCGATAGTGAAATCGATAGTGAGACCTAAAGTGAGATTGATTGTGAGATCGATTGTGAGATCGATAGAGAAATCGAGTGTGAGATCGAGTGTGATATCGATAATGAGATCGATAGTGAGACCGAATGTGAGATCGATAGTGAGATCGATAGTGAGATCGATCGTGAGATCGATAGCGGTACCGAATGTGAGATCGATGGTGGGATCGATAGTGATATCGATAGTGATATCGATAGTGAGACCGAATGTGAGATCGATAGTGAAATCGATAGTGAGACCGATTGTGAGATCGATTGTGAGATCGATTGTGATATCGAGAATGAGATCGATAGTGGGACCGAATGTGGGATCGATTGTGAGATCGATAGTGAGATCGATAGTGAGAACGATAGTGAGACCGAATGTGAGATCGATTGTGAGATCGATTGTGAGATCGTTAGGGGTATCGATTGTGAGATCGATCGTGATATCGATAAGGAAATCGGTAGTGAGACCGAATGGGAGATCGATAGTGAGATCGATCGTGAAACCGAATGTGAGATCGATCGTGATATCGATAGTGATATCGAGAGTGAGATCGATCGAGTGCGACGTTGGTCCCTCCCCCCCCCTCACCTCCTTATCACCCGAAGGGTGGTCGTATAGGTATCACTCGTTTTTTCTGCCTGTCGGTATTATGAGATTGTCTCCTCTCTTTCTTTCTCTGCCTCGCTCTCTCTGTCTCTCCCTTTGTCTCTTTCCCTCTCCCCCCAAGCCTTACATCCCCCATCCTTCCCTAGACGGGGGGGGAGGGTGGGGGGGGGAGATTTTCAATGTGTTTGGGCGGGGGGGGAGCGGAGAAAGGAGGAGGAAGAGGAGGTGGGGGGAGGAGCGAGAAGCACGGTAAGGAGGACGACGAGGAGGCCTCAGAACCCCGTGGTTGCTCCCAGAGGCCCTGAGATCTTCATAGCCACGATCATCTCCCATCCGCTCGCGGGGGCAAGTTCCTTGCTATGGCGTCGTAGTTGGTAGACAACGTCGGTACAGTCAAGACGCCGAAATAAGGACCACCTTGTGCTCAGCAGGGAATCTGGTGTACGGGCAGCTCCGTGGGCTCAGGTCGTTGAGCCTATTCGTAGCCGAGGCGTTCCTTAACGGTAGCACGGCGACAGGGTGGACGAGGAGAGGAGGGTGCCGGCACCACACGTGGAGCAAGTCTCAGGCGAAAGTGCCGCCAGGCAGCGCCGTTCCCCCCCCCCCCGCCCTCGAGGGCGGTCGCGGGAGGGGCTCGGAGGAGCATAAGCGGGCCTTTCCGTTCCTCCTCCTGATGGCGGGGCACGCACCCAGCACGCCGCACGGGCGGGCATAGATCCCGCTGGTGGGCCAGTGTTTCATGTGTTTACGCGATCGCCTATCATACAATCCTCCCCCCCTTCTGTGTCACCCTCCTCCTGGAGGGAGGCATGGGGGGGGAGGGGGGCAACCGCCCGAGCGAGAAGCCGATTCTGGTGAGCGTGCCCGAAGGCCTTTCGAAGCGCACCCTTAGTTGAAGCCGGAGCCAACAGTGAAGTGCACAACTGGCCAGAGGTACGGGGCACGAGGAGAAGGAGGAGGAGGAGGCCCCCAGGAGCCCCAGGAAGCTTCGGATCCCCATAGGAGACCCAAGACGGAAGAAAGCTTCGATTCTCCAAACCCTCCCTCCCTTGCTCCTCCTCCCTCCTGGAGAGGAAAGCCTGCGGGCTCAGCCTGATGCCGCCAGGACTTTGGTGATTGGTTCGAGAGCCGCTACGGCAAACCGGCCCCGCCCTTCAGCAAGGACAGCGGAAGAGGGGGGGAAGGATGAGGAGGAGCAGCAAGATCCAGCCATCCGGCGGCTTGGTCGAATCGTGGCGGCATGGTTTTCCCCCATTCTTGGGGAGGCATGTTTCGAACAAGCGGTGCCCTTGCGGCAGAAGGCCCCGAACAGCTTGTCACGGGCGCCCGGCAGTCCACATCTTGGCCTTTATTTTTTTGTGCGACAGCTAGTATTGGATTGCTACTGCGACTGGTACTGCTACTTTTCCGATAAGTTTATTACGATAACAAGTACACCCGCGCACTACTTCTACTACGACGGCTAATTCTACTACTCGTGCAACCACTACTACCAGGATGATGCTACTACTACTACTACTACTACTACTACTACTACTACTACTACTACTACTACTACTACTACTACTACCTACTACTACTACTACTACTACTACTACTACTACTACTACTACTACTACTACTACTACTACTACTACTACTACTACTACTACTACTACTACTACTACTACTATTACGACTACTATTACGACTACTACGACTACTACTACTACTACTACTACTACTACTACTACTACTACTAACACTAACACTAACACTAACACTAACACTAACACTAACACTAACACTAACACTAACACTAACACTAACACTAACACTAACACTAACACTAACACTAACACTAACACTAACACTACTACTTGTACGACTACAACCACCACTTCTACTGCTGCTGCTGCTACTGCTGCTACCGCAACCTACTACGGCGACGACTATTATGACGACTACGACTCCGACTACTACTACGACGACTAATACTACTACTGCCACTGCAACCGCTACTACTACTAACACTACTACTTGTACCACCACGTCTACAGCCTACTACTACAGCGGTCAGTTCCACTACCACGACCACTATTATTACGAAGACGACGACGACGACGACGACGACGACGACGACGACGACTACTACTACTACTACTACTACAACTACTACTTGTACTACCACTACTACTACTACTACTACTACTTTTGCTACGTCTCCAAACACTGCGACCACAACTACCACTACCACTACTGCGGTCACTACTATTCTTACTATTACTACTACTACTACTACTGCTACTACTACTACTGCCACTATTGCTACTACTACGCTTATTATTGCTACGAATACAACTAATACTTCGACTATTACTCCTACTACTACTTCTACTTATAAGACTACTACCTACTACTTCTACGACTACTACGAACATTACAACTATTACGATTATTCATATTATTATGATTACGATTGCTACTACTACGACTACTTCGATTTACATTTAGCACTACAGACTACACCCACAACCACGGCCACTACTACTGCTCTTACTACTACTAATTCTACTACTACTACTACTACTATGATTACTCCTCCTACTACTACTACTACTACTATGATTCCTCCTACTAATACTTTCTACTACCACTATTGCTTCTACTGCGGCAACTGCTACTCTTACCAGTACCACTTCTACTAGGACCACCACTACTACTACTACTGCTACTACTTCTACTATTACTACTACTACTACTACTACTACTACTACTACTACTAGTACTACTACTGTTACTACTCCTACTACTTCTACTACTTCTACTACTTCTACTACTACTACTACTCCTACTACTACTACTTACTTTTCTTCTTTTATAACTACTACTGCTACAACATCTACTCCAATCACCAATGCTACTACAACTACGACTACCCTTTAACTACTATGACTTGTACTACTATTTCTTCTGCAAGGACTACGAGTGTTATTGCTACTACTACTACTACGACTACTACTACTACTATTGTTACTTCCACTACGGCTACTACGACTACTACGACTACTACCACGACTACGACTACTACTACTACTACGACTACTACTACTACGACGACGATTACTACTACTAATACTACTGTCTCTACTACTACTACTACTACTACTACTCCTACTACTACTACTACTACTACTACCACTACTGTTACTAGTACAGCAACAACTACTACTACTGCTGCTAATACTACTACTACTACTACTACCACTACTAGTATCGCGGCTACTACAACTACTACGATGACGGCTGTTACACTCATTGTTTTGCTCATTCCGCCGGCTCTGGACCCCTTTTTAAGGCATATTAAAGGCTTTTTGGGGACCTCTTAAGAGTCTCTTGAAGCTCCTTGGCGGCGTCTTGGGGGCCCTCTTGGGGCGGGAGGGGGGTAGTCGATTGCGGCTCCCCCCTCTCTCGAGGCCACGATCCTCGTAAGGGGAGTCGAAAAATGGCCCTCCCCTGGAGTGCTCCGGTGGCTTATCCTGAGGCCTTGCCGAGGTACTTGTCGTCCGGGGGCCCCCAGGGGCGGCTCCGCGCGCGCGAACTAGAAATATTGTTAACCAGTTGCCGGAGATCTTAGCACGCCTCTGGCCCGTTAGGCCGGCGAAGTTCTGCCATTTTATTACAACATCTATTACTACTACTACTACTACCACCACTACTACTATTACTAGTACTACTACTACTACTACTATTACTACTACTACTTCTGCTACTACGACTACTACTACTACTACTACTACTACTACTACTACTACTACTACTACTACGACTACTACTCCTACTACTACTACGACTATACTACTACTACTACTACTACTACTACTACTACTACTACTACTACTACTACTATGACTACTACTACCACTACTACTACTACTACTAGTACTACTACTACTACTACTATTACTACTACTACAACTACTACAACAACAACAACTACTACTACTACTACCACTACTACTAGTACTAGTAGTAGTAGTAGTACTACTACTACTACGACTACTACTACTGCTACTACTACTACTACAACTACTACTACTACTACTACCACTACTACTACCACTACTACTACTACTACTACGACTGCTCCCACTACTATTACTAGTGCTACTTCTACTACCACTATCACTGCCACAATCATTATCACCACTACCACTAGCCCGAATACCACTACCTTGTCTATGATTGCGTGTTCTACTACTACTTCGGCTGCCTTTTCGATCGCTACTGTTTGTTCGGCTAGCAGTCGTAGTTATCTTATTTCTCCTAATTCGACCTCTACTGCGACGGTGTGTTGCAGTATCCAGGTGTTTGGCGGCAACTGCGTTTTGGCACCAGCCGTGGAGGCAGTTTGTCCGTTCCCCTCCTTTTTCTTTCCCCAAAAATGATTCCCGTCACTACTAGCACGAGTGTTGTTACTGGTATCGCTACGGCGGCGGCCCCTATTCCTCCTACTCACGATTTGATTGCCAATGGTATTACGTAAGTCTTTTTTATCCACGAGTAGTTGTGATGTAAATTCGTTTAGTGTTACATGCACTACTACTACGGCTAGTACCCGTGCTAGCACTAGTTCGTAAGCAGCGTATTGTTGATGCTTCTAGTTTTACTTCTACTACAATTTCAACCTCAAACGTTACGGCTCGCTCGCTCCCTCGGTTCTGTCGCTGTCTCGCCTTGTTCGTTCCCTCCCGTCACTGTCCCCCCTTCCCTCCCCTCGTCTTTCGGCCGCCCCATCCCCTCGCCCTCTCCGGCCTCTCCTCGGCGACATCCCCTACAAGCCATCCTCCCCATCCTGTGACTTCTCCTCTTCCTGAGCCTCCCTCTCATCATGTCATCTCTCATCATGATCTCCTCGGCGATAAGCACGGGTGAGAAGGATAGAGGAGGATAACGAGGAGGATCAGGACACTAAGGAGGTCAAGCACACTCTTCCCATTTGGCCCCCTCATCCCTATGCAGTTTCCCTCCTCCGTTCCGCGGGGCTCTTGAGGCACACGCGTGGCGTCAGGATGGCATTTGCTGTTATGTCAAAGGACGTTACGGAAGCTGGGCGGGCTCTATGTTACAGGTTTGATATAATTGATTCCAGTGATTAAGTTTCTCGTTCTGTCCGCAGGGACTGCGGGTACAGGGGGCGTCGGACCCATCGAATTCCCCTTCCGCATCAGTACTTCACTGTGGTGTGCGAGTTTGGCTACATACAATTTTGATTCCAGCCTGGTCGAAACGTTTCATGCACATTCACCAGGGTGGGTATTGGTTGGACTGTTCGGGAGTACGTTGGATGTTTCTTCCTTTTCCAGTTTGAATGTGATAGTGTTATGTTCTGGAGGTTCTGCTGTTGAGGAGCCTACCATGTTGTTCAAGCACTTGGTGGACGCTGCATTACCGCCAAACGGGATCCGACTTTCCCTTCCAGGCCGCTGCGTGCTGAAGCAGGATTATGTAATTACAGGCGTTTCGCGAGCATGGCGCAGGAATATCGTCGCGGCATCTGGTCTGAGTTTGTCCCAGCTAGGAGGGACAACCGATGATATGACTCAGTCATTGCCTCAGCAGTCTGTGGAAGAGTTTCCTCTTTTCGTCTCCCCTATCCGTCCCCGCTTCCCCCCTTCTCCCTGTCTTCTTCGACTCTCCTTGTTTCCCTTCCCCTCTATCTTGTTTCCCTTCTCCCTTCTCCTGCAGTCGGGGACGAGGGCCGGGGAAGGAGGACGAGGATGCCATCATTGCCCTTTCCTCCCTGCCTTAGTTAGCCACCCTCCCTGTTCACATTCCAATCCACGCCTTCCTCATGTTCGTTGTTCTCCCTCATCTGTGCCTCTTCTTCTTCAGTATGTATCCTCCCTTCCCCATCTCCCTATCCCTCCCTCTCCTCATCCCTCTCACTCCTCAGCCTTCCTGCTCTTTCCATTTGCCCCTCGTCCGTCTTCCCGACGGCGCCGCCCCTTCCCTGGAGATCTCAAGAGGCCTCCAGAGGCCGGCACATAAACACAATCGCGCGACAATTACGGTCTTCGATCTTCCATCCTTAATCCTCATTTCGCCTTCTTCTTTCTTCTCTGCGCCCCTGCGCCCGGTCACAGACCAAAATCCACTCCTCTTTGTGCCCTTCTTGGAGTGCATCTGGGCAAATTTTCGGAGCCGATTGCGGTCGTGGCGACGAGGACCCACAGAAATCCGCACACCTCCGGAACGACGTCCGCTTTTGCCGCCTCTCTCTTTTTCGTTCATCCCCCCCTGCCCTGCTTCTCCCTCATCCGCGCCAGGACTGCTTCGGCGACGCCGTCAAGGCGGGGGGCCACGTTCACGCGCAGTGGATGTCTCCCGCTGCTGCGTTCGTTCCTGCCAACTTTCTGTCCCTGCCTTTTCCCCCTCTTCCTCCCAATTCCTCATCCTGCCCCTTCTCTCTCCTATTCCTCGCCCTGCCTCATCTTGCCTTCTTCCTCCTGTTCCTCTTCTCCTCCGTCCCTTCCTTCCATCCCCTTGGCCCCATTTCGGAAGATCTTCCTAGGTGCATCGCTGGAGGTTGGGAGCGGGTCGCGCCCGATTCCACGCTGGCTCGCATCAGCTATGGCTCAGAGCGTTCTTGAGCGCTCTGCAACGGCCGCAGTTCCCGATGTGTCCCTCCAGACCCGCTGGCGCTCAGAGATTCACGATGTGTGTTCCTCCGAATGTCTATTTTTCCGGCCTCTGTCTTGCCCCGTCGCCCCGGGCGATCGGATGTCGCGACAAGAAAACAGATAATCATGGGAAACCGCGACGCGAGTCCATGGACCCGTTTTTGCGGCGCATCTCGGGCCAGACCGATTTGGGAAGGCTCCCCCTGGGGCCCGAAGCGGGCCGAAGACGCCCAGTGTGGCGAACAAAAGTGTGCAACGACCTGGCTGCAGGCCCCGAGGCCCAGCCCTTGGCCGCCGCCTCCGGCGCGCCGCGCGCGCGAGCGCGCGCCACCATTGTCGGTACAGCCGACTGGGCACAGCAAGACAGGTGACCAGAACCGACAGCAGTTCTTGCAGATTTTTTCTCGGGACTCGCTGTCAGTGTCTCCTCGGGCGCGCTGTCCCTGTCGGGCGGGGTTGGGGCAGGAGAAAGTGCGCGTTCTGTGGTCGCTTGGAGGGGTGGGGGGGTTGGAACCAGACCCCCCCCCCCTCCGGTGACAGGGGTGGGGGGGGGTTCGAACCCCCACCCGCCACCCCTTCCTCCCCTACTTCTCATCTCTCCCTCTCCTCGGGCCAGCGCCTGCGTCGGCGGCGGCTGGCGGCGACGGCAGCGGGGACGACGATTTCCGTTTCTGGGCCAGCGCCGGCGCCTGCGGCGGCGTGCGGCGACGGCGGGGAGCGTCGACGAGGACGACGGTGGTGGTGGTGGTGGTGGTGGTGGCGGTGGTGGTGGTGATGTTGTGGTGGTGGTGGTTTGTTGTAGTTTCGATGGTGGTTGTGGTGGTGGGTGGTGGTGGTGGTGGTGGTGGTGGTGGTGGTGGTGGTGGTTGTTTGGCGGTGGTGTGCTGGTGGTTTTTGGTGGTGGTGGTGGTGGTGGTGGGTTGTGGTGGTGGCGGTGGTTTGTGGTGGTGGTGCTGGTGGTGGTGGTGGTGGCGGTATTGGTGGTGTTGTGGTGGTTTGTGGTGGTGGTGGTGGTGGTGGTGGTTGTGCTGCTGGTAGAAGTGGTGGTTGTTGTGGCGGTGGTGGTGTTGGCGTGGTAGACTGTGGTTTTGGTGGTAGTGGTGGTGGGTTTCTTGGTGGTGGTGGTGGTGATGGTGAGTTGTGGTGGTGGGGGTGGTGGTGGTTGTGGCTGTTGTTATAGTGGTGGTGGTGCTTGTGTGGTGGGGTGGTGGTGGTGGTGGGTTTAGGTGGTGGTGGTGGTGGTGGTGGCAGTGGTGGTTATCGTCGCTGCGTCCCCGCCATCGCCGGCGCCAGAGGAGGGGGGTGGTTTGAACCCCCCCCCCCCCTCGGCGCCAGGGGGGGGGATTTGAGCCCCCCCCCTGGGTTGCCTCTGGTCATGGTCATCGTCGCTGCGTCCCCGCCGTTTGCGCTGCTGGCGGCCGCCGGCGCTGGCGCAGAGGGGGGGGGAAGGGTTCCCCCCCCCCCCTTGGGAGGAGGGGGTGGTTCGAGAGGGGGGGGTTGTGGGGGGAAGGGAAGTTCCCCGGGTTTGGATCGACGGCGCCGAGTGTTGGGGGGGGGGGGGCGCCCCCCGGCTCGAAACGCGCCGCCGAATGTTCCCAAGGCGAGCGCCCGTGAAACGCGTTCACTTGGACAGGGATACGTTCTTCCAGAGCCGCCCAACATGCTCTCGGAGCGTTCCTGAAGGCTCTGGGAAGGCCGCGGCGCCCGATGCGCCCCCCAGAAATGGCGGATATCAGAGATCCCCGATCCGTTCGGGCCGACCTCGCTGCGGATGCCGCCGCAGACGTTGCTTGCCTGAACCACAGGTCGAATTCCCACCAGAAGCCGCTTCCAGTCTGGGCAAACATTTGCTGCTGGGCGTCGTCCTCTGCGGGCGGGCCACCGCTCGTGCCTGCCCGCGCGCGCTGTCTCTCGCAGCCCGCGGGCCCGAGCTGCGCTGCGCCCATGGCTGCGTGCCCCGCCCGGAGGCCCGCGGCCCCGCCGCGGCGCGCCGCCGCGGCGCGGCGTGCCGCGCGGTGCCGGCTGGCGCCATGGCGGCGCGCGCCGCTGCAGCATCGGCGCCCCGGCCGCGGACGCAGGAGATGCCCCTCCGCCCCCTCCCCCCCGGGGTGCCCCCAAACGGTGTGGTGGCCAGGATGAGGAGGAGGAGGAGGAGGAGGAGGAAAAGGAGGGGGAGGACCCCGACCATCAACAACGAATGTCATGAACACGGATTGATATACGCCCAGCAGCGAGGTATCATATTCGACGCGAGATTCCCAGTGCCGCACTCGGACACGAACGCCATCATGGACCATATCGAGAATGAGAGTTACCCCGGCCACGACAATATGCACCACATCAAGACGGGTGCTGACCCAACAAACAGGTCAGCCAGCAGCCGTGCCAGACCTAGCCTGCGGGATCCACATCCGACGTGGACAACCCAGACCAATCCGACAGCGTGATCAATCACAACACGAGGCCCACCCCACGTGGCTCCCAGTTAGAGGTCACCACCTACTTGTAGTTCCCCGACAACCCACGGTGAAGACACATGTTCTTTCAGACAACGCAGCGCTCCACCAGTTGTCCTTCCACTGGCTCTCTACTTGTGCACGATCCTTTGCCCAAACCACCGCACTCACTGTCAAGACAGCGGCAGCAGCAGCAGCTGTATTCGATTCCCTACGGCGCACACCACTCACCGCAGCATCAGCTGGATGCGATTCCTACGGCGCATTCCACTCACCCCATTGCCAACGACGGCAGCACCAGGACACGGTGACAGCGGCGTCTTCAAATGGAGAAAGTGGGTCCGCGGCAGCGGCTTTCTCACCCGTTTTGATCCGACGTGCCACATGCATCCACGGCAACAGTTTAAACAACAGGCTTTGCTATGCAGTGGGTCCACGGTCAGACGTGGTTCAACACCCGCCGTGGTTCCCCACCTGCATATGTTAGTCGAACGACGTGATTCCTGTGTGCACACCTCATCAGACGTAAACTTTTGTATCTGCGGTGACAAGGGATCCCAAATCCACCGCAGGTTTCTCAACCGCAAGTGTCAGGATCATCGCCAAATGATGGAGTTCTCCCACTCGCCTTCTTGGTGTCATCTGTAATCCCACCTTCGCGGGGCCTCGGAGGCAGCGCGATGCGAAGGGCTACCATCAGTCAGGTCACTGGGAGCTCTCGCCCAGCCTCCCAATCCCTACTGTCTGCCCGCTTATATCTGATCCTGCCACATCCCTCTCCTCCCAAGCTAACCCACTCTTATGGGGCGGCATGGGCGGTGTGTTTGGGGCGGTGCCCGGCGCGCGCGCGCGGACGCGCGAACACTCCCCCGAGGAGAGTTGCAGGGGCTCAAGCCGCGGTGGCACCGGCAGGACGCGGCCGCGGACGCAGGAGCGGGTTGCGGGGTTGCAAGCGCGCGCGCTGGGCAGCCCGGGGCCGGAGGAAGGAGGACATGGTTGAGGGGCAACGTCGAGGGGGGGATTTGCTCAGGTTGGGTTTCCGATCGGTTTCGGCAGTTTTCTAATGTTTTCGAGGCCCGGGGTAGGTTTCCATCAGCCGTGCCTCGTCAACGATGTTCGAGGGGTGCCCGAATCGTCCCGAACAGCCGCTGGAGAGCCGAGTTCTGGCCCGAAAGCCAGGGAGAACGTCAGGGCGGGGGGGATATGCTCAAGGGGGGACGCATTGACCCCGATTGCCCATTGATCGCCGATAGGTGCGTGATTGCCCACCGCAGAAAAAAAGCCGGAGGAAGCCAGGGGGGGCAATTGCAGCGTTGGGGTCCTTGATGCCTTTTTTGAGTTGGTGGTAAGGTACTGGGGGACCACACCACTACGTGCCCTTCCCTGGCGCCTCACGCTGGTGGTGGTGGTGACGTTTTTTCTTGTTCCCAAGGGGCAACGTTAGTGTGGGATAGGCTCAGGGGGGATGCATCAACCCCCCAGCACCCATTCATCGCCGATAGGGGCCAGATAGGCACGCCCCACACATGAGCGTGCGGATTCGCTATCGGGGGCTGATCGGCAATGTATCGGCGATGCATCGCCGATTCCAGCTCGGTGTTTCCCCTGCCTGAGCTGGTCCCTCCAACGTTGCCCCTCAGGAGGACAGGGATAGTCGAAGACGAGCGAATTTCACACACATGTACTTTCGGAGCTCCGCGCGGATTTCTCGCATCGGCGCCGGGCCTCGCTAGGCCCCCCCGGGCGGCGCCTCCAGCACCACCCTTGGCGCGCTCCCCACGCCAGGGAGGGGGTTCCAGCGCCGATCCAAGAATTCCGATCCGCAATAGCATGGTTATACAGTTCTGCCGTATTCTAAGTAGCGCGGGTCAGCAACCCCAAGAGGCGATCAGGGCATTTTTCGTTAAGTGGATTTTTTTCACCAGAAGTTGGTGTTGACAACAATTGTATGGCGTTTGGCTGCGTCGCCAGCGCGTTTCTGAGATTATACCAGGGATGTTGGAATGTTGATGTTAGCGCTCGTGGGACCCCTGGTCGGATCACCGCAGGCGTACAACTCTTTGTGGTTGATTGTCCGTGGCAACAAAAAACCGTCATGTAAGCAATGGCGAGGCTTGGTATGCATTCGCAAAAGTATGGTGAAGTCATTGTAAGTGTTTGTCCATGCGAACCGCTGGATGGCCCGCACCATGTTATGAAATGGTACGGCGTCGGTCGCTAGGTCAAGAGACGCATTGTGGCAAATTTGAGGTGCCACCATGAAGTGGTTTGCAGACGTCGATATGTTGATAAACGCTGCCGAATGCAATACCCCACTCGTTTGCAATACCACGCCGTTGGAAACACAACATCGTTGTCAAAGGTTTCTTGCAATATGTGTTGCTGTGGCGATGAGTCCAAATGGCTTCAAGAAGTTCCCACCACGAGCAGGAACACAAACGCGGAGTCCGCGGTTCGATTGAAAGTGGGCAGGGCAATGTGTTCAAGGTTGTCGCCATTGTTTTTACACGCTCACTAGCCGCTGATGCTAGCCAGGACAAGTTTGTCTGAGGCAAGTGCTGCAATTCACATTGAAGTCATGATGGAAGCCACGGGTCACGTAGCGGTGCATTACCCCGATTGGTAGGGCCCACAGGCCACGTGGTTGAAGAGCATCTAGCTTCGAGTATGTTACCGATGACAGGGCACGGGGTCTTTCTTCGATACGTCGTTTTTCCACAGCGTAGATGATCAGGAAGGACATGGTCTTCACGGACCCCAGGACGGACGAGCGTCAACCGACGACCGACGACGGCAGATTCTCCCTTGTCGGGATTCCTTGTCTGACGGCTTCCCTGGCCAGGATTCCCCCAACCCCATCTGTCATGGGGCGGTTGAACCAACCCTTAGCAAACCGACGCCTTCCGTGACGACCGCTCTCCTCGTTCTTAGACGTGGGCAGGTTCGGAAGCTCTTGAGAGGCCATATTCTGATTTTGCTCCCGTCCAGCTGAATCCCGAATCATCCAGCTGCGTCCCGCTTCATCCTGCTTACTCCTGCTTACTCCTGCTTAATCCGCGACCTAATCCGGCGCGCGTAAAAGCTGAATCTTTTTTGGATCCTTCCGGCGAAGGCCTCCCAGTAGTTGCCTCATGAGGCAGGCGGCTGGAGAGGGGCCTCCTTGGGCGAGGGAGTCGTCACGGACGGGCTCCCGTCACGGACACGCGCCGCTTCTTCGTGCTCTGGTTTTAGGCCTCCCAGATGGGGTCCGTGCAGATGGGCTCGTGGGATCGCGCCACGTCGCCGATGCATCGCCGATGCGGCTCGACGTGCAGCCTGATTGCGAAGGCCTGACGGCCGGTGCCGCCGACCCTGAATGGGGAACGACGACAACGGCGGCGACGGCGGCGACGACGACGCTGACGTGGGTCAGAGGCCTCATGGATGCTTCTTGGGGTCTCTTCAAATCGGTCTCGGGAGCCTCTGGGGAACAGTTTCGTGGCCTCTTGGGGGCCTCTTGGGGGCATCTTGGGAGCCTCTTGGGGGCCTCTCGGGGCTTCCTGGGGGCTTGCCTACTGGAGGCCTCTTCGGCCTCTCGGAGCCGTCTTGGAGGCCTCTCGGGCCGTCTTGGAGGCGTTTTGAGCCATTTTGGGTCCCTCCTGGAGCCCTTTTGGGCCATCTTGGGGCGATCTGGGGGGCCTCTTGGGCCGTCTTGAAGCGTCGGGAAGCGGAAGAGGCGAGAACGCCGAAATGCTTCAAAAACCAATGGGAAATCATGGGGCCCTCTTGGGGATGCTTCTGGAGGCCTCTTGGGGAGTTTTGCAAGGCTCTTAGGCCGTCTGGAGACCGTCAAGGCTTCTTGGACCGATCACTCTGCGATTCGGGGCCCTCTTGGATCGTCTTGGGGGCCTCTTTGGGCGCTCTTGGCCCTGGAACCCCCGGGGGGGTCGTATCTGACCCAGGACCCTCCCCCTGGGACCCTCCCCGACCCCCCCCTGGCGCCCCCCCCGTCTACGATGGGAAGGAACAAAGGGAAGGGGCTTCCCTTCGATTCGCTTACGACGTTGCTCAATTTCGCCTTGGCTGGCGCGCTTGAGGGGGGACGCTTAGGGAAGGGTGGGGGGAGCGGCGACGGCCCCAGCGCTTGAGGAGGAGGGCCCAGGGAAAAGGAGGGGAGCGGCGACGGGCCCAGGGAGGGGGGGCGCAGGGACAGGGCACGTCGGAGACGACGACCAACATGTGACGGAGGCGACGACTCGAAGGGACAAGCTCCTCACACACGCTGACAGGATCTTAGATGGGGTCCGTGTAGATGGGCTAGTAGGATGGCGCCATATCGCCGATGCATCGCCAATGCGGCTCGACATGCAGCCTGATGTGGTGCACGTCGACGTCGCCGATACATCGCCGACGTCGAAGATGCACCGCCGATGCATCGCCGATACATCGCCGCGGTGCGATCTTCCGATCCCGTTTATTCCGACCCCGCCTAAGAGGTCTCTATACAAATCCAATGAGTTCGACCTTTTCCCCAGGGGTCGAGAGGATAACACCAACACCAATGTCGTTGGTGTGCCCCCGCAGAGACAAGATGAGCCTGCTCTCAGTGATGGTGGTAATATTGGAAAGAGCGTGTTCTACCGCTGCTGGCGGAAAACCGAGGGGGGTCACTACCGGTTCGAACCCCTCCCCCCCCCCCTCCGGAAAACCGGGGGGGTCACTGCCGGTTCGAACCCCTCCCCCCCCCCCCCAGTTCATCATGAAAAGGAGGGGGGGTCACTGCTGGTTCGAACCCCCTCCCCCCCTGGAACTCCAAAACCGGGGGGGGGTCACTACCGGTTCGACCCCCCCCTCCCCTTCGAAAACCGAGGAGGGGTGCGGACAGTGGTGGGGACGGTGGTGGTGGGGACAGTGGTGAGGGGACAGCGGGACAGTGATGGGGACAGTGGGATAGTGGTGGGGACGGTAGTGGTGGGGACACTGGTGAGGACAATGGTGGGAACAGTGGGGACAGTGGGACAGTGGTGGGGACGGTGGTGGAGGGTACAGTGGTGGTGGGGACAGTGGTGAAGGCGGTGGCGAGGACGGCGGTGGGACAATGGGACAGAGGTACAGTGGGGACAGTGGTGGGGACAGTGGTGGGGACAGTGGTGGGAACAGTGGGACAGCTCAGTGGGACAGCGGAGGAGTCAGTGGGACAGTGGGGACAGTGGGGATAGTCGGGCAGTGGTTGGGGCCGTGGAGAAAGTTGGGGGAGTGGAGCCGTGGTGGGAACAGTGGTGGGGACAGTGGGGACAGTGCGACAGTGGTGGTGGCACTGGTGGGGACAGTAGGGGCGGTGGTGGAACCAGTGGGGACAGTGGTGGTGAGGAGTGGTGCTGGGAACAACAGTGGGGGATGTGGTGAGGACGGTGGTAGGGACCGGGAGTCGTTTGCTGGCGGTGAGGGGGGGGGGGAGGGGTTCGACCGGTAGTGACCCCCTCCTCCGGTTTTCAGAGGGGTGGGTGGGTTCGAACCTGTAGTGACCCCCCCCCCGGGTTTTCGAAGGGGGAGGGGGGGGGGGCGGGAGGGGTTAGGGGAGGAGGGGGGTTTTGCCGGGGGAGGGGAGAGGATTTTCGGAGAAGGGGGAAGGGGAACCCTGGGTTCTGGAGGAAAAGGGCGGCAATTTTCCACAGTAAAGCGGCGGTGGATCACGCTCTCTCTTATATTGGGGTCTACATGTGGCCAGTATTCCCACCAACGCTAACATTCTAGGATCATCTTCCCCTGGTGGGGGCAACCCCCTTTCATTTCGAATTTTTCTGTCGACGGTCGGCTTCCACTGCATCGTTGCAAGAGGAACGACTCAGAAGGAACAACAACACACACAGACACACTGAATCGTCGACTCCCCGGAAAAGATGGGAACATATGGGAAGCGGGGGGAAAACAACAACACAGACAATATTGGAA